AGACTAAATAAAACAAATAAATTGGTGGTAATTTTTGACTGTGTAACTTTACAAACGGCACCCCATTGCCGCCATCACCAGTAGGAAAGATACAAATATGATACTGTAGTGATTGCACAACAAAACAATTTAGTGGTTTTGATTCTGTGGTAGAAATTGAAACAAATTATCAACCCATGCCTAATCCAGAAAAAGGTTGTATGTTCCATCCATCCATCCATTTTCTGTACGCTTATTCCTTTCAGGGTCACATATCAAGACAACTACACTGACAATTTTGTAAATGCAAGAATTTTTTTTTCTTTTTTGACATTGCATAAAATCTTGCACCTATTTCTGTTTGTAACCCAGGACGGCATCGTAGAGCTTTCCAGTGAATCGGTACTGGATGTTGGTGAAGCCAGCAGCTTTTAGCAGGGCAGCATGATGAGACCCTGACCTCTCTTTGCCCTCCGTCTGCAGCAGCATGATCAGGGAGTGGAGATGGGCCGTCAGCGGGCCAGATCCATCCTCATTCAGCAGCATCTCCACCACCAGCACACCGCCTCCTGCAGCAGAACCAATACAAYGACGGATCTTTTTAGCTTTGTTTTTATGGGAATGTTTACATTGTCAAAGAGTTTTTGCCAAACCTCACAGCAACAATTACCAGGCTAGAAAGTATTGTCTGGTGTGGGAAACTGATTTTTGGATCAGTGTTGAACAAAGTCAGCAAACAAAATACAGTCTCGTATTAAAACTTTCTGCACAATTAAGTAAAAACTCAATGGTTCGCAGCACACAGTTTTATTTATTTGGTTTGCAAAAGTAAGAAGTAATGCAGTAATAGTACAACAATGGTTGTGCTATTGGGYAAATTTATAAAGTCCTTCATAATTTCACATTATTCACCCTTAAAATCTATCAATGGATAACACTAAGCTCATATAAACATGTGCAACTGTCCAAGAAAGGAAGCATCTCATCTTTTATCATCATTTTTTTTACCCTTCCCTCCTGTTCCCTCATATTTTTGGCTGAGTTTGTGTCTGTTGTCTGCCTTTGATCAAAGCCAGAGGAACAGATTTTACTGGGATCAGCTGCATTGTGGGATACAATCTGCCGTCTCATTTCTAGCAGAAGAAAAAGAAAAAAAGTACTGATCTTTTTCACACTAAAACGCACACATGCACAAACACACACACACACACCTGGTTTGCAGGCTTTGTAGATTCCARGGAGCAACTCTATGCAGCGTTCATCAGTCCAGTCATGGAGGACTCTGGAAACAATATAGAGGTCAGCTGCCGGCAGAGGGTCTTTGAAGAAATCCCCTTAAAACACAAAAACAAAAACGTTGAATTTTCAGGACACTATGAATCTACAACTTTTACATGATCAACTTTAATGGTCTAGCATTCTTTYAAGAAATGACTTTTGACWGTTTCCTATAGACAAAGTTTTAAAATAAAAGTACCTTATCTCCTGCAATATTGCAGGATCTTGTAAGACGTGTCTTTCAGCCACTATCACACCAAGTTTTAGCTACGTATCTGAAACGTTGGCTGAGTTATAGCCATTTTTGTCTCCTAAGGTCAGCAGTCCAACTCGTTCAGCTACTGCTACACAAAATCTCAGTCTTCAGCAGCATACAATGATGAGGCAGATTCACTTTCATAATGATGTAGTGCGGAATGATAGTAACTTCCTCCTTAGACCTTGCCAAGAATGAAAGTGATGCATCTGAAATGTAATGTGAAACATGAAGTACTGAGCAGAATGCATAGCAGAAGAGAATCAGAATTAATGCTCAGCTGTAATATAAAGGATGTGTGGGTAATATGAATGTTGCTAAGGATCCAAGTTGGGCTGCCTTAAAACTGGTTAACAGGCTTCTCTTTATCTGATTTAATTACTTCACGTAATTATTAATTCTGTTGACAAGACCTCAACTAATGACATGACTTGATTAGTGGTTTACACGCTTAAACATAATTACCACAAATGGATGATGTCTGCTGTAATCAAATTATTCGAAATGCATGTGACCCACATTGATTACAGCACATTTCCGAGCTCCGTCAAACATTCAATGTTGATGGAAGAAAAACATCCATTAGCCGGTCGCTCACTCAGTCGCTCTCATTGCATTTTGGGGTCTATCTTTTGTGTCCAGAGTAGAAACAAAATAATTCAATCAAAGACTCTAAAGATGCTGGGTTACAGCACAGGTTGCATGTGAACAGTCGGGGCGGGAATTGACTTTCTCTGCAGGGTTTTTGAAGATTACCTGCTGCTGCGAGCTGTTTTCTCACGTCAGCTGCTGTGGTGCAGTGGCAACCCAACGAAGGAGGTGTTGAGTACAAATAGACGGTTTTGTACACAAGAATTTTAGTCCTGCAGCAATCAGGGGAACAAAAACTGTATGGGGTGATTGTATAAAAAAGTGGATGTTTGTGCTTAAAATTCTTGTGCTATTTAAATATCTAGGTAAGTGATCAGGATTGCATAATTAGTGGCATGATTACACACATTTGTAATACAATATTTGACTGAGTCTCTATGTATCATTTTATAAGCACATGATTTGCTGGAGACTCAGTTTGTGTTGATGATTAAGGATTGAGGATTAAGTTTTAATTGTTTGGTAAAGTTTGTGGTACAGATCAGCTTTCATGAAGCACACCCAACAAAAGGTAAAAGCAAAACAGCAGATGCACCCTTTTATCCCAATAAATTAAACAGGTAACCTAATTCTGCCATCATTTTCCTTGGCCTGACATGTGCCAGGTGCTTATATAACTTTAATGAGGCAGAGCATATTTAATATCGCCACATTAAAACACAAAAAGTTAAACAAACAGATTAAAAATAGGAAAAGCAACATGAATATGGAAGTCCATTCGCTCCTTTTTGTATGCACCCGACATTGTCGTGATTTCTTTCGGGTCGCTTTCTTAATTATTTGTGTGTAAAGGTGTTTCACTTAAATTGTCATTAACGTGGAGCAATTTAATACACTTGTAATGGTGATACCCTCAAGGAAGCTTATCCTCTGTTCACCCTCGTTGACAAAGTGTTCCCGCGATATGCGCACCACCTTGGGGAGGTCAAAGATCGTCACAGTGCATTGTGGGTAGACTGACGTGCAGTGCTTGGCTAATGCTCCGGTGCAGCCTGGAAGGAAGGACAAAATTACTTTTAGTTATGCTGCATAACCTTCAATGACAAGGTGGTTGTTCCATTACAGACACGCTGCACACAAATTGAAAAAAACAACAACATTGGATGTCACTAACTTTTACTCAACATACATTTAAAGGGATCCCCGATTAGTTGTAACATTAGACTTTATATGATAAACAAATACTTTAACTGTAAAATAAAGACTGTAAAATACTGTAGACTGTTCAGTTTTTATAATTTTTAAACTAAAATTTTAAAATATGTTACATGGATGGGGCCATTTTATTTACACGCAAAGCATTCTGGGAAATTGATGACATCAACTAGGTCATCGGCACGAGGCTGCTAGTGAGCTATATCCACCCTGAAGGTTAATCTTGGACAAGATCTGATGATTGACTCTTTTAAATGAAACCAGAGAGCGTTGACAGAGAGGAGAAGGTAGAAATGACTCAGCCTGTAACTGAAAATATGGATGGAGGACAACAGAGCTGCTTCATGGAAGAAGAACCTCAGCTTAGCCTGTTAGCTTTAGRGTTAGCCCCAACACTATCACCATATACAGTATATGTATTAGCTCAGCTCTACACATTCTCTTGTCACTGAGGTCCTCCATCCACATGACAGAGAGGGTAACGCAAAAATGACTCCGTCTGCAACTGAAAATATGGATGGAGGACCTCAGTTTAGCTTGTTTGTCGCGCTAGCGCCGAGCTAATACATATAAGGTAATACAGCGTGAGGGCTAGCACGAAGGCTAACAGGCTAAGCTGAGGTTCTTCTTCCATGAAGCAGCTCTGTTGTCCTCCATCCATATTTTCAGTTCCAGGCTGAGTCATTTCTACCTTCTCCTCTCTGTCAACGCTCTCTGGTTTCATTTAAAAGAGTCAATCGTCAGATATAGCTCGCTAGCAGCCTCGCACCGATGACCTAGTTGATGTCATCATTTACCCAGAATGCTTTGCGTGTAAATAAAATGGCTCCATCCATGTTAAAATATATTTTAAAAAATTTACAAAACTAAACAGCCTACAGTATTTTTACAGTCTTTATTTTACAGTTAAAATAAATGTTTATCAAATAAAGTTTAATGTTACAACTAATCGTGGATCCCTTTAAGATCATGTATTGTCTTAAAAGTGTTAGGAAAATAAATGTCTGAATAAAGGGAAAATGTGGCTCGTGGTGTTTTCCCAACGAGCCAAGGTGCAAGAGCTAAAATTTGTGAGCGCTGAGAAAACAGTGAATTCAACTTTTTCAACAAGTTCCAACTTTCTGAACGTGTTTTATTAAAGAGTGGGCTGACTTCTCCAGAGGGAGTTGCTGCTGCCTTCTCTGTCTGTGGACACCAGATTAGTGCTGTTTCCAAACTGTTTTACAGCTCAAAGAAATGGATGTATGAATAGAAATGACTGAGAAGTCTGCGGCTTTGGATTCTGACACCTTTCTATCATTCTTAGCATTGAGGCCATCAGCTATTTGCCACAGAGCAGTTCCTGTCTGTACTCCACGAGGCAGCCGTCGCCCCTCAGCTGCATTAAAACGCCTCAGGCATTCATCACTCTGTCACTAATTCACCAGTTGTCATTCCTCGAACCTCGAAAGCCTAACCACTCCACAACAGGAGCACCAGTAAGTACTTTCTTTCACAAAGCCATTTTGTCAAAGTTACTCAGATTTTGATGCTGACTTGTTTTTTTTTTAAACTGATTACTATCATTATTATTTTTGCTTGGAAATTTAAAATTTGGTATATCACTTGCTACCTAACACACAACCAACCCCTAACATTCACTTCATCTAAAAGTGTAATTTTGTGACCCTTGTCTTTAGATTTGTGCATTATATGCATTCAAAGAGGTAACTAATCTTTAGTTACCTCCGCCAAGGGCGAGGTAATGTTTTTGGTCGCATATGTCTGTTTGTGGTTCTGTCTGTGGACAGCATTACTCAAAAACTTGTGGACGGATTGTCATGACATTTTTAACACACGTGGGTACTGGGCCAAGGGACACACCTTTAAATTTTGGTGATGTTCCGGATCACGATGAGGATACAGGAATTTTTTTTCTTTTAACACTCTGAGATCGGCAAAGCTGTGATGCTTTCACAGGGCTTCTATAAAAAACAGTGACCTGGATTGGACAGCACGGACTTCAAACTTTATAAAAGTAATGTTAAAACCAGATTTAATGATGAATAATTTTTGCTATAATATGCACATTTACAGAACGTTTTGTGACCAGGAGGTGACTGCATCATGAAACCTATTTTTCCCCATTTCCTCAAACACACCACATTTCCAAAACAACCAATCAAAACAGTTTCTCTACCAGGCTTGTAAACAGAGAGCTGCCGGGCCTCAAAGTTTGGAGATGGGGGGAGCCAGGAAGCACTTTATAAAGAGAGTCAAACCATTACAAACTCATACAAGGAGATAAAACAGACGTTTTACATGGTGAAATGTGACTGATGAAAACGTAGAGGTTTAATCCGACACCAGTTTGATGATGAATAACGTCGGGTGACGAGTCTGTTTTTTTTTCCACATTGGACTCCACTGGGAAGAAATTCTGTGCATACTGCTGCTTAAATGTTCGCTACATCAGAACTTATTCGGCAAATGTGTTTCCATCTCTGCTTTTGCACATTAACTTTATAACAGGATGGGAGGAATTGGTCTTGGCGGAGGTTTGCACTCTCCGAGTGCTTCTACATTGCACTTTCATAGAGGTAACTAATCTTTAGTTATTCTTTTTTTTTTACATGTAAGAGCAAAAACAAAACGCTTATATGGAAAAATAAATCTTTTGCTCCTCCGTTGACATTCTCGAGCAGAAAGGAGAAAGTGACAGGTGGTTATTGGGGGGGAAAAGGGGGTATTGGGAGCAGGAAAAAGACAGAGTTTGAGTGTTGGAGTGAGGCAGAATGGAGCATCAAAGGATCTCACTCTGACAAACCTTTAAAGCCAGTCAGCTGGGACGGTGAGTGTTTATGTGCGCGCACGCAGAGCAAGCATTCCTCCGAGCTATGGAGCAGCATGACCTGCTGCTGCTGCTGTATGAGTGTATTCTCACAAAGCTCCTGCTTTTTTGCACACACACTCACACAGACGATACCGCATAGCTCTCACATCAAACAGAGGTCGGCAGAGGAGAAAAATCAAAGAGCAACAAGGAGGAGCGAAAGCAAACACACAACGCTCTGTTCAAGACCCCGAAGCTTCCTTTATTGTTCCCAATAATGATCTTCTGATGAAAGTGTGACTGTTGCACAAAGAAAGGCTGTTTCATCACTAATATTGTTTCCGTCTTTGCTCTTTGCCTTTTAGTCATGTCATCTTTGAAGGTATTTTTAGGCTGGTGTGTGCATTTCATTGAAATCAAAAATATATTTAGTCACAATCAACATTTGTGGAGAATCTGCATGGATATTGATTTGGATGTTGCTACACTTCTTAGTTGAAGTTCCTCTGCGGTAGAAACGCTTTTATTTTTTGTGCTAAAATGCTGCAGACTGATACGGTTTTAAAGGGGAGAGGGAAGTCGACGGCTGCATCAGAACAGATTATAGGGACATATCTGCAATATGAACAATTTAGTGGTACAAAATATACAAAGATTAATAAGCACCTATATGTGCTTATATGAATCAGTGAGCAACATTAAAGCTCAGGTTACGTCAGACCTACTTTTATCTTGAACATTTCTTTCTCTTCTGCCAGATTATCACGTCTGAGATAAAAATCATCACAGAATGAAGAACAGGCAAACAAATAGCCTACTCAAACAAACACATATTTGCAGTTTAGCTGCAGAGATTGACAGACAACATGTCGAGCAGCAGGTGGGCACAGACAGGACAGATGCTGTGTGAGACACACGGTCTACATGGGACACTGCAGTCACGTCCTTGAGGCTCTTGATGCTCACTTGCTCACACTTTTTGGACGTGCAGCTTCATGCATAAGCATGAACAGGCAACCCCATGTTGAGAAAGTCACAAAGGAGCAGGACACACAAATGGAGCGACCGTATGCTTTTAATGGTTCCACAGCTCCCCTGTGAGGTCAGCTGAAGCGGTACATGCTGCTTGCGGCCCACCTGTGGCCAGCTGGATACAGAGCTAGCAATTTATTTATTTAATTTTTTCAATTCTGAGGTTAATTTTATTAAGCAGGAACACTCTTTGACTTATATCCTCATGTAAAACAGAACTAAATGGGACTTTTAAAGAGTTTAATTGGATTTTAATCCATATTTTTCCTGATTTGATAACTAAAAACTCTGAACGTRATTTATCTGTTTGTTTTATTACTAAATGTGGTGTTTAAATCTCACCTCCAATGTCACAAATGTCCTTAAAAGATGAAAGATCGAAGGCTGTGATGACATCTTTACCGCATATTTTCCAGATAGAATTCATTAACTCCAGGAAATTCATCATTTCTTCATCGTTCCTACACAAAACATAGAGGGGTGGAAAAAAACTTTGTTTAATTCCTCTCCGTTATATGTCTCATCGTTTTATCTGTCACCCACGGGTGAAAGTGCAAAGAAAGTGCACAGAATTTATACAACAACAAAAAAAAGTTGTTTTTTATTTTTTATTTTTTGTTCCCAGTGGCTTCACCATGGTGTATGTCTGTTTGATAGACAGAGCGCGGCAGAACAGAAGAGCCTGTGGTGAGTGCTGCTGCTCTGAGGAATCTCCACCTCATCAAGCAGAACCACCATGAGGGCTACACACACACACACACACACACACACACACACACACACACACACACACACACACACACACACACACACTCACTTCTTCTGCAGCACTGCTTCCATTTGTAAACTCCACTGTAGCAAAGTGCTCAGTCATCTGATCCTCAAACCAACTTCACAAGACACAATGACATCCAGAGGAACTTTTAAAGTGACTCATTGTTGGCCTCAAACTCTGACGGCACTGGATATGAACAAATACAAATGACTCTGAGGCCAAACAGAAGACTGTCAGCTTCCATTTAAAGCATTTGGAGCAAAAGATACTAAACGTCCTCAAATGGCAAATTCTTTGTTGTGGTTATTTGTAGCTATACCATCACATCTGTACAAAAAACAAGCTTAGCTGGTAAAACTTTTCTTTGTCTTGGTATGCGGGATCACACTACGAAATATTACTTTACACTTATGAAACTCTAAAAGTGAATTATGCAGTCTGTCTGACTGGTGTTTTATGTGTGGTTTGGCTTAGATTGCTTCAGTAAGTTCCACACACACACACACACACACACAGCTATAAAACTGGGGACATTCCATTGACTTTCATTGATTTCTATAGTCTAACCCTGACACCCTACCCTAAAACTAACCTCACAGGTACATACCTGACCCTCTACCAAACCTGAACTCAATTCACACCTTGGTCCTAAACCGAACCCCCATCCCACCAATGGCATTTAAACCAAACAGGGACTCGACTTAGTCCACATGCACCAGTGGTCCCCTCCTGTAGGTGTTTTGTTTTAAAATAGTCCACATGTGTCATACCCCCACCCCATACACACACACATCCTTGTATTTGCATCAAACTGAGGACATCATATTGATTTCCATTCATTTTTGGAATTGTATTTATGCCTAACCCAGACATTTTCCTTAAAATGAACCATTACTGGTCTATAGCTGACCCTAACCTGAACCAAAACTTAACTCTCATCATACCTCTAAACCTAACTAGTAAAGCACAGCAGAGCTTCAAACAAAGTGAGGACATTGAAGAGGTTCTCACTCTACATCAAACACCTCACTTTGATGGTAACTATGGCACAAATGGTCCTCACTCTGTCGTAAAAAAACAAGTACACACACGTGTATATATATACTGTAC